AGCTGTGTTTGTGGCCTTGAAGCATTGCAAAGGGGGCTTCTGCCTGCTCTGCACGCAAATACCGATGTCTTCCTGTGATAATTCTACGGGAATTGGAATGTTGTTCAGATCATATGCCCTTATGCTGTCAGTTACAGGATAGTTTGTTGAACGCAGATGGAGGATGGCACACTTGCACATTTAAATCTAGGAGGCATCTCTAGGACCACGTTTGCAGTCTGCGCAGGTCATTCTGCAGAGCTTCCCGGTCGCTCGTACCCTTAATGACTTGCCAGAGCTTAACGTCATTGGCCAGCATGATCTTACCACAGTCCATTTCCTGAAGGCTCTCATTACCGGGAGGCGGCCCTCTTGTGTTCAAGTTGCAGCAAGGCATGCGCTTCTGTGACTGCCTGTTCTGTTTGAGTTCAACTGAGCTGCCGATTCGTGTTGCTGTGACTAATAATGTTGATGATTGCGGATCACTCCGAGCAAACGGTTGCTGATATCTTGGCTTACTGACTGGCATGACTGGCTGCTGCCGGCTAATGAGCCAGAAACGGACATTTCGGTCTTTCTGGTCTTCGCTGGCAATATTACGTACGTTCTTCGTTGTCCCCATCATCTTGGTGCTTTCGATTCGGCACCGTTGCCCACCCAGAGGCGTCGATGAGGAGGTCAACTGCAAAAGTGGCTCGAAACAGTTCGTCAAGACACGGAAGTGGTTCTTGGACGATGAAACCCTTAGTATTTTCTCTTGCCCTATACCCTTATTATCATTCCGATCATTCCGATAATGAGCGCCCTTTTTAGTGCCATATCTGCTTAACTTATTGTCTATTTTATATATTCATTCAAACGTGCCTGGGAGGAAATGAAGCCAGTGTGGTGCCTCAACTGACTATGTAATTTTCAGTCAGTATCCTACCACCTGCAAGTGGAAATCTGCACCTTTTATACTTACGTACTGTTAATTAGCAAGTATAGCATTTTTTTCAGGACTGACTGTATCCTGTAACAGTGATGCGACCAACGTCTAAGAAGTCGAAGGATGCTGTCGGCGGGGTCAAAGCAGGCGGCATTCGGTTCCAGCGGGACAAGGGCCAGCACATTCTCAAGAATCCCCTAGTTGTGCAAAGCATTGTAGACAAAGCTGGAATCAAGCCCATTGATACGGTTATGGAGGTGGGCTCTGGCACTGGTAATCTCACCGTCAAGTTGTTGGAAAAGGCCAAAAAGGTGTGTGCTTTTGAGATAGATCCCAGAATGGTGGCAGAACTGCAAAAACGGGTGCAGTATACGTAAGTCCAGTTTAGTTTATTTGAGGGAATTGTAGGTGTATACCTTTTAGCCCTCCCCCACTCATGCCCCATTTATTTACATGCAACGTAGATGTATCAAACATTGGAAAAAATACAACATCAAAAAAGTACAGTGTTGGATAAGTGAAGTAGATTGTATTTCGATATGCTATAATTACAGGAAAGAAGGACTTCGGAAAATCGAGCAGTAATCGTAAATTTTGGTAGGACTGTCTTTAGACTTTGCGTTTGACCTCTGACCTCCACATCGTACCACGGTATCATCGTCTGAATGGTGAATTTTATAGAGAGGAGATCCTAAAGCAGAAACTGTTTAAAGTATTGGAAAAAATCGTTTGAGCAGGTCAAGCGTTGAGATTAAATTTGTTACGGACATGTCAAGGATTATTTTTATGCAGGACAGAATCACAGATCATACAGCTCTGGTGATCCAGAGGTTGCTGTTAGAGAAAATTCCAGACTTCTGGAGGAAAGAAATGTGGTCAGTGAATAATTCTAACATGCATCCATTTGAAAATCGATTGTAAATTCTTGGTAATATGGTTGACGAGACACTGCCTGCTCCTACTACTGTTGCTGGATTGGAGGAAGATCCCCTTGGAGATCCTCCAGAATCTCACCCACTTGATTCCAACTAGGGTAGAAGCTGTCCTAGGGGTCAAACTAAAGTTTCCCATTAAATTAAATTGTGAAATAAATAAATATATATTACGATAGGCAGAAGGACATTACCAGCAAAGACAGGG